TATTCAAGAACTTCTTAATATATTACTTATAAATGATTAAAATACAAAAGCTAATAACTTTTTTAACTTGTTAATATCCATTAGGATGGCAATTTAGAATTATAAGAAATTATTTGCAATTTTTTGTATACAAATGATCATTTAGGCTTATTACTTTTATTATCTATAAGTCAATAAAGAACTGACTATTTTTTTTGCACCAGTAATTTTCTAATTTGATAAGTTTGAGAAGACCAATTATAATTAGTTATATGTTATTTATTATCTCCTTCTAATTCATCAGGTTCAAGTAAATATCTTATTAAAACATTATAAGTTAATTGTGATTTATCATAACCTACAGACTCTTTTTGAGTTTTAGAAGACAGGAAAAAACCTGTTTCTTTTTTATTGCTATAGCTGAAAATAAACCTATTAGTTGAGTTATAGAATTATTGATATCTTTTATAATTATAGGCAGATTCTTTACCTAAGCTCAAAATCTTTTAGATAAATGCAATGTTAATAAGTCATATATATCTTGTATATGAAATAATCTTTTAGCTAAGGTTTTATTATAACTTTAAATAATGCCTATAGTGCATTTAGACTTGGCTTTCTGAATTTTTATATTATGATCTTTCAATAATTTTTTTCTGGATCCTTATTTGATAAAAATGTTTCTGGTCAAATAAGAGAATACTTAGGGTCATTATATATTTTCTCAAAAGCTCGAGCAATAGTTTTTGAAGTTAAGACCCTTGTTTATTGTGAAAGGAAAATTGCATGGTCACATGAGTGTATGTAATGATGATCCCAAAAAATAACAAATCTGAAAGAAATGAAATATCTGTAATTTATTTCTTTTCTTTGATTTCATAGTTTTATTTCAGATAGTTCAGATAATTAATATAGTTAAAAAATTAGATATAGCAGCGATAGTTTAGATAGTTGATATATCTGATATAATTTTTTGAGACTAGCATGTATATAAAGCGAGAGAAAAAGTCTAAATAAACTTAACATCTATTTGTTTAACATCTATTTGTTTAAAATATTTATTTGTTTAATATCTATTTGTTTAAACATCTAATTGCTAAACATCTGATTGTTCAAATAAACTACTGTACAAATGTGGAACATTTGAAGGTGAAACTGCGACCATAAAGGAATTTGGAAGAGTTTCAAAGTAGTTGATAGTATGAATATCCATTGCTATAACAGGAACTTTGGTATAATTTGAGTAGACAAATGTGTATGCTAATGAATAGAAATTGAGTTTATTTTGTAAAAAGAGAAGGATACTCAGATCAAATTATTACACCTTAGCCTTAAAAAAAACTAAGTATTAGAGAGGATTTGAAAAACCCCTCACACTATTCTTGACACTATATGCATCAATAAAAATAGATGCTTTATATCTTGAAACCATGTTCACAATATTAAGACAAAAAAGAAAGGTAATTCATCCTATCTTATTATAAGATATATAGAGAATATCTGCCTGATATACTTCATTAGGAGTAATAATAGAAGTAAAAATTGCATGCAGAATATATTTTAGTCAAGGTTTGTAAATTTAATGCAAAGACTACTTGTTTAGCCAATTTTTTATCACAGTCAAAGTAAACTTATATCCTGCCTTCATACAAGTATTTCATATTTTTTTAGCAATCTGATAGTAATTTTCAGATTAATAATAGAGCTCTTGCAAAGTAAGAAGTAAGATTCCAGTTAAGATCATGTGCCTTTTAAGAATAGATATAAATTAAAGATTTTGTTATTCTCTTTTATAATTATGAAACAAAGAATATCATTCCATAAACTTTATCCAAGATAGAAAAGAACATGTGAAGAATATAAAGTTGAGCTGGAGAAGAAGAATTATCTTCTTCGTAGTGAATTGCAAATAGAAGTTGATAGTAATCATCAGAATGAGAGATGAATTAATCAACTGAAGCAAGATTATGTTCAATGTAAGCAAGAAATTCAGAATCTTAATAGAGAGATAGATTATTTTAAAAATATATTAAAAGAAGAAATAATGGAGTTGAAATATGAAATCTCCTTCCTAAAAAAGCAACTATATTAAACTAGAAAGGATGTTTGAGATAAAGAAAAGCATATATCTAGTTTAAAAAAGTGATTGGCAGAATTCAAAAAGCAGGTTGAAAAATTGCGAAGCAAGATTAAGAACATCTCATTATGGAAAAATTCTCCCATATAAGAAAATTTTTCTGATCTGTATAATTTATAATACTGATTTGGAGATGGCTACAATCAGAGAAGTAGCAAATATCATAGATGATTATTTGAATAATAAAGACACATATAGGGATATTCTGATAGGTCAAATAAAAAGTGCAACCAATCAAATTCGTATAAAATATGATATTCTGCAATGGAATCTGAGAGCTAAAAGACAGAATCATTGGCAGACTGAAACAGAGTGGAACATTGTTATAGGGGAAAGAGATACTATCCAAAGAAAATGGGATAGTTATAGGTAAGAGGAATATGACTATTTTAGCCTATAATAATAAAAGAAATACATATAATACTTCTATAGAAAAATAAAGAAGAAGGCATATGGGTTGTGTTTGACAGGTCCAGAACTGGCAGAGACAATATCAGGATTTGTAAAATCAAACTATAGTAGAAGCTCAAATTCAGAATTTATTAGCCCAGAATAGACAAAGACAAATTGGTAGGCTGTTAAAAGAGAAATTTGCATTATATTTATTAATAAATAATTTGTGAGATTAAATTTTAGCATTATAGAATAATTCATCTAATCAAATAAACATGGCAGGAATATCTCATCCATGGTTTGACTGGGATGATAGTATTCCAGACTTTCTTGCACAACTTAAACTAGATTTACATAATCGGGAATAGATTCAAATGATAATGTAGCAAATCTTTTAACAGGAAGAGATAATGTAATAGAGCATTTAAGAGGCTATATGAGAAGAAGGACTTTAGAATAGTTTGATAATGAGATTACTATAAAGCAAAATTGGAAGTTAACTAACTTACTCAATAATATAAGGCAGGCTAATTTAGTTGCAGTAAATGGACAAACTGTAGTACAGTTAGGAGTTAATGCATTAAATGAGACTGTTGGCCAATCAGGAAATACAATAGTCAAGTTAAAAGCTGTTGAAGATACTTGGAATGAAGACTGACATATAGCAGGTAGCCGTCCTACTAATGATCCTATAAATGCACCAAATGTTAATGCTGGAAATACAGTAGTTATAACTGGTATTCGTTTTGGTCAAGCCATATAGTGGTTAAAAACACATTTTTCTATAGTGGAAGAGGAGCTTCAAAATTAGATGTATGAAACAATTAGAAAGGAAGATATGACTATAGATGAATTATATAGAAAAATATTATGAATAGGTAGATGAGCCAACTATAGGCCTAAAGAATTACATAGGAAATTCTTAGATGCCCTACCACTTTCATGGCTTGATAAAGCTGAGGATATTGACAAACATTTGCCATTGGCTGAATTAGCTAAAAAGCTTTATGAGATAGAATTATATCAAATAGCTAGACATAAAAGAGATAAAATATATGATCCACTAGTATCTCAATGAGCATCTTGAGAAATATATGATCCCTTGCCTGTTTCAGCTTCTAAACAGCAAGTAATTTCTTTAGAAGATATGCAAAAAGCAATTCAAAACACATTAGCACAACAAAAAACTGAAAACCAGGCATTAGTAAAGAAAGTTACAGAATTACAATCTCAAATGACTCAACAAGCGCAAGTATCTGCCCCACAAACTGTTGAACCTATTAGACAGCCGAAAGGTCCACCATCTTCATTAAAGACCAAAGAAGGTCTTAAGAATTATTATGTATCAGAATACTTAAAAGAAATAGGTTTATTAAGTAAGGAAGAATTAGACTCTGACTATCCTGTAAAAAATTTTCAAAGGCCTCGTCCACAACGAAACAATCTTTCTACAAGAATTGATACAGTAGAGGATGGGATTAATGAAACTCGTGATGCTGTAAATGAAACCCGGGATTCTATAAATAAATTAAGCAATCAATTTCAAAAACTACATATACATAAACCGGTAGCTCGGTCTAATTTTAATCGGTCTTATTTTAAGACTCTTACACCTATAAATTCCCAACACACGCCCCCCACTTCAGATGGAGAGGAAGATGATTATGATAAAGTAGATAATGAATGGTATTATGCACCGGAAAAAAAAAACAGGTACCAGTAAATGACAAGTTGCCTCCAGAATCTAGCCAACTCAAAACATATGATGAGCTGTTGCCAAAACTTTCACCAGCAATGCGTAAAATGTGTCTATCTCGAAAGACTCAAGAGGAGAAGTCAAAAAAAGATGAGTGGTTTTCATCCCTACAATACTTGAATGCTAGTATAAATGACTTGACCATTTCTGATTCTTTTTAGATCAGGGAAGTGAATTCGATGGCATGAATCTAGCAACTGCTAAGGTACTTGGATGGAAAGTTGACAAGCCTTCCAAGTTTGCTGTAAAAGGCAATTCCGAGCATATCTCTGAAGCACTAGGATGGTATACGGATGTAGCTGTTACTCTAAAGGATAAAAAAGGTAAACCAATTGTCACTATTATTGGAAATTATGCTTGTATAGACAACGGTGAACCCAAGCCAATGCTATGGTTGGGGGTGACAGGAATTCGAAAAGTCAAAGGTATTTCTGATCCAGCTAAAAATCAGTTCCGCATAGAGAATCATGGAAAGACATACACTATCTTAACTTTTAGTAAGACATCAGAAATAAATGATCCGCCAAAAGAAGAGCAGGACCAAGTATCCACCGATTTCCCTAGCCTGCCTGGTGAGGATAGTTTAAAAAAAGTGCGTAAACTGTGTAAAGCTTGAAGAACGTCTTGCAAAAGCTGAAGAGTGGCTTGGTAAGGCAATAGGCGCTATAAAAATACTTGCCGAAAAGAAGTTATTTAATATTATCCATTTGTTTTAATATCTCTTCAAGTTCAGATCCCATTTTAGACATAATATCAGTATTGTCAGTGGTATTAACGCTATGCTGTGAAGGTACCTCTGACTCCGTCTCAGTAGAGGCTGTTTTGCCTGTTTTCTTTTTTCGGCTATTTTTCTTCAGTGGTAAAGCAGGTGGAGAGGAAATAGCAGAAGGATGGTCCCTCTCAAGACTTCCCACATAAGAGCTCACAAAGGAGGCGGTTTCTATAGGAATCCCGGAACCTGATCTCGCATTAGAAATATCAGCTATTGGTCGATTCCAGGCAATTCTATTAGCTTCTTCGCCTCTCCAAATCTGATATATGCGTTTCATTGATGTGTTATATTTGTGCATTAATTCCTCTAACACTTTTTTCCTTGGCCTTTCATTTTCACGTTGCATAATAAAATCATAATCAGCTGGTGAAAATAAAGGCGCATTACAATTTATACGCTGTCTAACCATAATCACGATGATGTATTTTTTCAGATAAAATATTTCAAAAAATATTAAATTAGAAAAAATGTATTCTTTGAGATAAATAAGATAAGCGTAGTTTTTTTGATATTTAGAAAAAATGTATTATTTCGAAAATAATTTAATAGAATAAATAGGATAAATACTGTACATTAATTCGAAAAAGATTTATTGGGATAATTAGGATAAATGTATCATTTTGGAAATATAGGAAGAGCATATTATTTCGAAAAAAATGTTATTATTTTTTTTTGTCTATATTTGCGGAATAAAAAAACTATGCCTCGAGTCTATACCTTGAATGATGTAGGTAATAGTGATGGCAATAAACTTGGAAGCCTTCCATCCAATCGATATCCGCCTAGCCGTTTAGAACTTGAAGAACAGCTAAAAAAAGATCGTGAAATGTTTATAAGATCTGCTAAACAGCTTATAGCTAAATATAATGCCTTAGATAAAAAAAATAAGTGTATGCAAAATGATTTAGATCACTCGCATGAAGAAAATGAGCGTATGCAAAAAACTATGAATCAAATTATCCCCTAACTATACAACTAAATGATTTGAGTAATAAGCTTGGCTCCAAAATTACTTGTGAAAGAAAGTCTCATGCCGAACTTAATGCCAAGCAGTTACAGTAAAAGAAATAGAATCGTTAAAGTCTACAGTTAAATCACTGGAAAACGTAATATCTTCGATGCAAAAGGCTTCTTCAAAAGATTCCGATATCATCTCTCTCAGAACTAAAATAAATGAACTAGAGGCTGAGTTAGAACAAACCGCGCAAAGAGTTTTATTAAAGGATTCTGATACTTCCCTGGTGGACCCTCACCCCTCCCTTGAGAATAGAGTAAAGGAATTGGAAAATGAACTGGAGCAAGTTACGAAAAATTCATCAATTAGGGAGGGTTGATTTTCTGTCTTAGGTCAAGGGTAAGTGAACTAGAGCGCCAAGCCGAAAGAGATGAACTAGAACAGATCCCTTTAAAATCACATCCGTCATCTAATGATTCAAAAACAGGTGGCGATGAAGAAGAAGAGGTATCCAGTTTCTTTGCTGAAGACACTCAGGGCAAGACCCCCTCTTTTTCTTCACACTGCCCAGAACTTGAACCTGATGAAAGGAAAGTAAAAAATGAGGTGGAGTCTCCGATAGATCACACTGAACAAAAATCAAAAGAGAAACTCGATAGTAACCATCCCACAATATCACCCATTACTACGTCAGGGTCTGGCAAGCTTTGATTAGTTATGAGAAATTTGGTTCTTTCTTTTTTCAGCTTGCGATCTTTCTTATAATACTATTACTAATCATATACTTCATGCGGTCTATCCTCCCCCATCTATATTCTTTTATTCCATCCCTTAATGAAAAGAAAATTTTTCCGAAATATATAACACCCTTTGATAGAAAACAAAAATACGAAATTCCAGTCCACTATGCAGAAGCGTTCAAAGACAGAAATACCTCCTATGAAACTCCGTCTTTTGGATATGGATGAAGTTACAGAGCATGAACCATCCCGAAATGTAGGTCATCCAGCAATGACATGGACATTCGCTATGGTTGTTACTGGGAAAAGTGGTACAGGTAAAACTAATTTACTTGCGAACCTTGTTCTTGGTGATAAGGATGAATATGTGCAAAAGGGGAAGAAAGGCGGGTCTAGATATATCCGCTGTGATGACCTGATTATATGCGGTTATCATCCAGACGAACCAAAATGGGCATATGTTAGATATATATATGATAAGATTTCGAAAGACCCAAGAGCGCCTTACTATGAGGATATTAGTTTCAGCTATATACCACCCGAAAAAATTCCTAGTACAAGAGCATTCTCACCTAAGAGAAGTACATTAATTATTTTTGAGAATGTATGCTTAGCTCCAGAGCATATACAAAATCGAATTGGCCAATTTTTTGGGAATGGGCGTCATCGAAATATTTCATATGTATATGTAACGCAAAAATATCATAAACTCGATACATTCACCCGTGAAAACACAACACATCTAGTAGTATTTAACTCCGGTAGCTCACATGAAGATATTTCCAAGATCATTAGGCGCTATACTGATGATGTAAAAAATGCATCTATGGTCATTAATAGTTACCCTCGAAAAGGTGAGTTTGTTGTATTTGATCTCACTAGGCCGGAAGATGATCCCCTTGCAATCCGCCTAAGGTTTGATACTCCACTAAACCTGCAGAAGGAAATAGAGGCTAGGCAGAAGCGCAAGGAAAAAAAGTGTTCCAGTCATTATTAAATATAGTTTGCGCAAAAAACTTTGCGTGCAAAAAATGTAAATCGACCACTAGGGCCCGCTTTAATATACATGAATAAATAAATTAGGGTAAGATTACCTCATCTATAATTTCGCAGAACTGGCCAGTGGCATCCCGGAACCTGGCACTCATTCGTACATTCTCAAAACTCTCATCGTGCCAGAAGTGGACAACGTTTAA